ATATTTTTAACTGATTATAAAGATAAGAATAGAACCAGTCCACGAAAGTAGTTGAAAGTGAAGAAGTGCTCCAAGATGACATTATAGTCAACCATATCAATGGTAACAGATAGATCAAGAAAGCCAAGCAGTGATTGCACCTCGTAGTCATAATCACACTGGCTATCATTCCATGCATAAATGCTGTAAATAATGCTATCACATTTCTACTTACAGGGAATCATAGAATCATACAGCACAGAAGAGGTTCTTCGGCCCATCAAGTCTATACTGCTAAAGATATATTACTACCTACACTAGTTCCATTTTCCTACACTTGGCCCATAGCCTTGAATATTATGACGCTTCAAGTGTTCATCCAAGTACTTTTAAAGGTTGTGAGGTCTCCTGCCTCAACTACCCCCCTGACAGTGCATTTCAGACCTCTTCCACCATTCATCCCAGGCAACATTCTAGTAAATCTTCCCTACACTCCCTCCAGTGCAATCACATCCTTCCTATAGTGTCGTGACTCAATGGAGAATCTTGATAATATTGTGAGGTCATGATTTTATATGGGAAATCCTAAAGGAAATACAATGTGGCAAATAATGCAGAACATTTAAACAAACTGAAAAATAAAAGAATTACAAACAAATGTGCAATTTACCATTACCCAACAAATAACAATTTTAGTGGCATATTAGTGGAAGGGAAATATCATATTCCACAATACATTGAAGGAAGGATAGAAAATGCATAAGAAAAAGAAAGGGGAGTAGCAAGAAATATTTGCCCTATAGCCCTCTCATTCACACTGAGCTCCAGTCTATTCACTTGTTTGCAAGGTAACTGCAGGTAGAGGTTTTATTTTGTGTAGTTAAGAACATTGAACTGCTGTAATACTTTGTCTCAGGAACAACCTCCCACTTTCAGCTGACAGTCACTGTGGAGTCTTGAAATCTTATACATTTCTAGTGGTTTGTTAATTCATAGAATCATAGAATCCCTATAGTGTGGAAAGAGGTTATTTGGCCCATCGAGTCTGCACCGACCTCCTGAAGAACATCCTATCCAGACCCAGCTCAAGAAGGAGTCAAAATATTCAATAAAGAAAGGGAGAAAATTATGAGGATCAGACAGATAGTGGGTAGAATGCTCAACTGAACAAATGTCTTGTAAACATTTGCATTTTTAAACTTAATTCCCACATTATTTGAAGGTGCATAACAGAGTCATACAGCATGGAAACAGGCCCTTCAGTCCAACCAGTCTTCACTCACCATGTGCTCAAACTAAACTAGTTCCACGTACCTGCATTTGGCCCATATCCATCCAAACCCTTCCTTCTCATGTACTTATCCAACAGTCTTTTAAATATTGTAATTGTACCTGCATCCACCACTTCCTCTGGCAGTTCATTCCACATACGAACCACTCTTTCCGTAAAAAAGCTGTTTCCTCGTCTTTTTTAAAAATTTCTCCTCTCATCTTAAAAAATATATTCTCTACTTTTGAACTCCCTAACCCTAGGAAAAAGACCTTTACTACATACCTTATCCATGCCCCTTATGACTTTGTTAAATCATTCTGGTAAATCTTTTCTGAACCCTCTCCAATTTTATAACATCCTTCCTGTAGCACGGCAACCAGAACTGCGCACGTACTCCAGAAGAGGCCTCACCAAAGTCCTGCACAATCTCAACTTGATGTCCCAACTCCTGTACTCAAAGGTTTAAACAATGAAGGCAAGCATGCTAAACGCGTTCTTAACCACCCTGTCTACCTGTGATGCGAATTTCAAAAAATTATGTACCTGAACCTCTAAGTCTCTCTGTTCTACAACACAATCCAGGGCCCTACCATTACTTGTATAAGTCCTGCCCTTGTTTGTTTTACAAAAAATGCAATACCCCACATTTATTTAAATCAAATTCCATCAACCACTCCTCAGTCCATTGACTCAATTGACCAAGATTTCTTTGTAATCTCAGATAACGTTCTTCACTGTCCACTGTATCACCAATTTTGGTTGGGATATCATGGTAATTTTTGATAATTTGGTACACTGACAATGGAAAATGTCAATAGAGAATTGGGCTGCAAAGTTTGAATAGGGAAAGAGTAAAACTAACAACAGTAGAAAGTGTGATGTTATGATAAAATCCCTATTAGGTAGGATGTAGTTTGCTGTAGCTTTGTCACAATTTCTGAGCAATTTAGATGCTATGACAGTTGAACTTCTCTTTTCTCCATACAAGCTAACTGAAATGTTGGATCGTTCCAATGTTTCCTCTTCTATTTCAAGAATTGATTATGCCAGAATCAACCAAGGTGGCTACCGCTTACCAGAAACGAAGCCAGATCGGCTATATAAATACTGTGGCTATAAAAGCAGGTCAGAGGCTGTAATTCTGTGGTGAGTTAACTCACATTTTGACTTCCTAAAGCTTATCCTCCATTTGCAAGGCACAAGACAAAAGTGAGGAATACTTCCCACTTGCGTTAATGAGCATGACTCAGGCCTCTTGATTGGCTCTCCATCTACCACTTAAGTATTCACTCATACAATCGATACACAGTTGCAGCTCTGTGTACCATTTACAAGATGTACTGCAATAACTCAGCAAGGTTCCTTTGACAGCGGCTTTCAAATCTGTGACTATGACACCTGGAAGATGTATGGGAACACCACCACCTGAAAGATGCTCTCCAAGCTAAAAATGATCTTGATTTGGAGCTGGATCGCCATTCTTTCATTGTTGCTGGGTGAAAATGTTGGAGCTCCCTTCCTAATAGCACTCTAGGTCTAGCTATAACTATAATTGGGGAAGGGCAACAAAATTCAGGCTTACCCAGTAATCTCCAGATTCCATGAAGTAATTTCAGATATCCAGGATCTGCAGTTTTTTAAAAGGCCATTTTTCTATTCTTATGTGTTGTAGGATTTGTTCGCTTATCTCAATCTCATTTTTACCATGATTTATTTCTGTTTTTTGAAGTGAAGTAACTTGCATTAGATGTTTGTAGCTGTTTACTACTTGCTATTTTGGAAAACAATGGACTGAATGAGCATTTTGTGTACGAGAAGAAAATTTTCCACTATAAAGTAAGAGTCTCACAGGGAACAATCTGAACAACAAATATAAGATGAAGCTGAAGTACAGAAACACTCCTCATAGTTCCTGACCTTTATCTAGTAAATGGCTGAGCCGTATACAACAGGAATGAACCAGTTTCAGCCCAATATCTAAGCTGAGTGAACAATTTTCAGACAGGACACTGGAAGGTAAGTATAACTGGTCTCAATCGTCTGGGGTTTACAAGATGGAAAATCAGCTTTGGTTATTGCTTCTGATCACTGTTCAAAGGCTGATACTAAACAGTCCGTATTTGTGGACAGGAGGTGAGGTCAGAATTCGGCTTGGATGTGATACGATGCAGTTGAAATGTCTCCAAACATTTTGCATCAAAAATCATACATTAAAAAGCCTATTTATGAGGGAGATTTGGGTAAATGGAAAGAGGGACAGAAGGCTGAAGAGGGATTCTGTTGGACAGAAAGTTGAGAAGGTGCTGTATTACTGGACAAGGATGAAGCCACGTGGGCTGCCACTTTGAGAGAACTAGTTATGGAGAGTAGAAGACACAGTCTCTGCCCAGAAAGGCTGGCTGGAGATCCCAGCTCTGATTTTTGGTGGCAGAAGTGCAGAAAGGGCCAATATTATGGCGAGTCTGTCCACAGCAAGTTTATTCTGGTCACAAATTCACCATGTTTAGCACAAGGGGGGAGCATTCTCATGCATTCACTGATAATGATCAAAATATCTCATTGCACCATTGAAAGGAAACCTATTGTAGTAAATGCCAGAATAGACTGTTTTAGTGGCAGAAGCAATTGGACATTGCTGAGATTAATATTTGAGGGCAATGGCCAGTCTCACCGATATGATCATGGACAGATGCACCTGCAGCTGGCAGATTAGTAAGGACGAGGTCAAGTATGCTTTTCCCTTTTGTTGATTTCCTCAACACCTGTCAGAGACCCAGTCTAGCAGCTATGTCCTTTAGGACCTGACCAGCTTGATCAGTAGTGCTGCTGCTGAGCCACTCATGGTGGTGGACATTGGAATACCTCACCCGCAGTACATTTTGCACCCTGGCTACCTTCAGTGCTTCCTCCAAGTATTGTCAACATGGAGGAGTACTGATTCATCAGCGGAGGAAGGATGATATGTGGTTGCCAGCAGGAGGTTTCTTTACCCATGTTTAATCCAAAACTATGAGGCATTATGGGGTCTGGAGTCTATGTTGATTACTCCCAAGGCAACTCCCTCCTGACTATACATCACTGTGTCACCACCTCTGCTGGGTCTGTTCTGCTGAAGGAACAGGATCTCATACCCACAGAATATTCGCTGATTTTTCTGGGTTATTAGTCTTGCGTTAATACTAATTGGCCATCACCTCCATTGTACTGCTCTGTTTTGTAGTGCTGCCTCTTTTACCTCTCATTTCAAATACTGCAAATAATTAAAGTGAGAAGAAATTGCAGATCACACATTGCAAGATACAGAGCTCACAGAAACTCAAAATCTGACCATTTAATTAGAAAAAATTAAATCAAATTCCACTGGCTGAAATTGCTATTAACATTAAGTGATATTAAAGAATTAAATGGCCCACTGCATTGAGAAGGTGTCTGTGTGTTGGTCAAATGATTCCTCACAGAAAGTTTAGCATTTCCCTATAATAGTCTAATTATCTCTCTAATTGATGAATTCCCTCTAAATTCCCTCTAATGAGGTGCTAATCACAGGCAGGGGCTTGGAGAAAAATGAACAAGGTAACAGCCTGAGTCCATTATGTATACCTCCAAGCAGCTGGCTACAGAGGACTACCAAACAAGGGCCTATCAGAATGTTGACTCTTGACTGAGTAATAATGTGTGGCATGTGGGTTGTCAGAACTTTTTTTTACACTGAAAAGTCTTGTTAAACAAGCACATATATAACTCTCACCTTGATCCTCTCAATGCCAGCTTCAATCCTTAACTGTTCCACCATTTTCCTTGCTTGAGCTATGTTGTTTGTTGACATTGTCACAGTTTATTCAACAGGACAATTTTCTGGATAAGAAAAACAAACAATTAATGATCATAAAAGGTGTAAACACAATATCTTTGATGACAAAAAATGTAATTTCAACTTTCATGTCAAGTTATAGTAGTATTCCTAAAAATATAGATTGGACTGCATTTTTTTTGACAAAGTCCAACTTGTATGAAGCTTTCTTGAGGATTTCTTGCCATGAGGACTAGGAAGTTGTCTCACCATATCATACCAAAAGCTGCCTCATTAATTATCTACGCTGCCCCCAAGGAGTACCTTATGTCCGATTCCAGCACGACCTTGTCAAAGGCTTTTCACAGAACAACTCAGCGCTTGAAGGATACCCTAGAATTCACCAGCATCCCTTGTGACAACGATAACTTTGTAAGCTTGTTGTGCACCTGGACCAATATTATCAGTCTGGAGCTGTCCTGCATGGTTTCAACATTTGCCAAACTTACAAGCAAACAAAGTAAACAGTATAGTGCACTATGCTTTCAGGCAGAAGAGTCTAGAATTTTTTGGGCTAACTCCTACATTTGAAAGAAAAGCTTAGTTTAAGTTTCAGTTTGAGTGGTTTAGTGGGTTCTTATCAGAAGCTGGAATATGTAAACAGTTACTCCTGAAAAAGGGAGGAGTCAGTTTAGAATTGTTAAAAATCAGTTACCTCAGTGGAAGAAGTTATTTTAAAAGATCCAGACAGCACGTCTGGATTATACAATACGGTAAAAATCTTGGTTAGGTTATTTGAAGCTGAGAAAGTTTATGCTCAATTAAATGACAAAGGAAGCGGCTATCAGAATCTCACAGCTGGGAATTGAAGCCATAGCTAAGCCAAACCATATGTGATGGAAAGAAGGGCATTCTCTCTGGTACAAAAACAAAGTTGCTGGAAAAGCTCAGCAGGTCTAGCAGCATCTGTGAAGAAAAAAACAGAGTTAATGTTTCGGTCTGGTGACCCTTCCTCAGAACTGTTTCGGTTCACCACACCCGAAACGTTAACTTTTGTTTTTTCTTCATAGATACTGCCAGACCTGCTGAGTTCTTCCAGCAACTTTGTTTTTGTTCCTGATCTACAGCATCCTCAGTTCTTTCAGTTTTTATTTAGCATTCTTGGTGTTTGAGTACTGTAATGAGATGTTGCTAGGATTAATGGATTTCATTTCTACAGTACATTTTGAAATCTTTGAAGATGTGTATATATACAGTTTTATTTATTCTATATTTTCATTTATTTTTCGTTCATTTATAATAAATTTCATTTATTAATAAACATCTGTTTTGTAGAAACCAAATCTGCAATGCTGTGTGCCTTTGTTTTTGTGGTACCATCTAGCTTAAACCAAAAAAAAAAGCCAAATATAATTTAAAGACAAGTTTATTCAATATTGCAGGGTTCTGCCTGAGGTTTTAAACGAATACTTTACATCTACCTTTACTGGAGAAGCCATGGTGACAGTGAAGAAAACTCAGTTATGAGAAGAGTTTCAAATTGATAAGGAGGAGTTTATGGTAGGTTGGTGGTACTCAAGGTTGAAAAGACTGGATGAGATGTATCCAAGGATATCGAAGGAAATCAGAGTGGAGACGGCATAGTCGCTGGCAATAGTCTTTCAATCTTTAGTAGCATCAATGCAGAGAAGGATCTAGACATAGAGGTCCACAGTTCCATGAAAGTGGCAACACAAGTGGATAAAATGGTCAAGAAGGCATACAGCATGTTTGCCTTAATTGGTTCGGACATAGAGTATAAAAATTGGCAAATCATGTTGCAGCTGTATAGAAACTTGGTTCGGCCACATTTCCAATTTTTTTTACAGCTCTGGTTGTCATAATACCAGAAGGATGTGGAGGCTTTGGAGAGGGTATAGAAATGGTTTGCCAGGAGGTTGCCTGGTTTGGAGGGTATTAGCTATGAGGAGAGATTGACAAACTTGGTTTGTTGTCACTTGAACGTTGAAGGATCAATAGGCAGGGAGCAGAGGGATATGGACCACGTAGAGGCAAAGGATTTTTAGATTAGAAAGGCACCACATACTGGCGCAGAGATAGTAGGAACTGCAGATGCTGGAGAATCCGAGACAACAAGGTGCAGGGTTGGATGAACACAGCAGGCCAAGCAGCATCGTAGGAGCAGAAAGGCTGACGTTTCGGGCCTAGACCCTTCATCACTTTGCTCCTATGATGCTGCTTGACATACTGGCGCAGGCTTGGTGGACCAAAAAGGCCTGTTCCTGTGCTGTATTGTGATAACACAGTGTGGAGCTGGAGGAACAGTCTGAAGACGGGTCTCAACCCGAAACGTCAGCTTTCCTGCTCCTCTGATGCTGCCTGGCTGCCGTGTTCCTCCAGCTCCACACTGTGTTATCTCAGACTCCAGCATCGGCAGTTCTTACTATCTCCTGTACAGTACTGTTCTTTGTTCCCTGGACTCAATGGTGGGACCAGAGGTCTGGAGAAGTGCAAATGTTACACTTTGTTCAAAGAAGGCTGTAAGGATAAACCTAGCAATTACAGACCAGTCAGATTAACTTCAGTAGTGGGGCAAATTTTTAGAAATAATTATTTGGGATAGATGGGAAAACATCAGCAAATTACAAAGAACCAGCACAGATTTCCAAGATAAGATTGTGTTTAACTAACTTGTTGAAGTTTGTCAAAAAAATAATAGAGAGTTTTATTGACAGTATTGAAATAATGTATATAGTCAGTGACAGCATTGGTAAGAGAGACCATCGCACAGTCCTTGGAGACAGTCATATCTTCACAGTGAGAATACACTCCAAAATATGTAGCACTATCACCCTACTTCATAGGATAGACTTTGAACAGATTTATCAACTCAAGTCTGTGCATCCATAATGTGCTATGGGCCGTGTACTCTAACACAATTTGCAACCTCAGGTCCCAGTTCATTCCCCACTCTACCATTATTATCAAGGCAGGGGATCAATCTGGTTCAGTGGAGAGTGCAGGAGAGCATGTCAGGAGCAGCACTAGGCAAATCTAAAAAAAAATTAGGTGTCAACCTGATGTACCCACAAAACAGGACCACTTGTGAGCCAAACAGCATAAGCCAGCAAGTGACTGACAGGACAAAGCAGTCCCACAACAAATGGATCATATCTAAACTCTGCAGTCCTATTACATCCAGCTGTGAATGGTGGTGGACAATTAAGCAACTAACTGGAGGAGGAAGCTTCACAGATATCCCTATCCTCACATCGGGAATCTAGGGCATCAATGCAAAAGATAAGGCTGAGACATTTGCAACAATCTGCAGTCAGATGTGCCAAGGGGACAATCCATTGTGGTATTCTTCACAGCTTCCCAGCATGACAGATGCTAGTGTTTAGTCCATTCGAATTATTCCACAAAATATCAAGAAACGATTAAAGGCACTTGATACTGCAAAGGCTATGGGCCCTGACAACATTCCAGCAATACTACAATAATACTGAAGACTTGTGCTCCAGAACTTGCTGCACCACTAGCCGAGCTATTTCAGTGAATGTACAACACAGGCATCTATATGACAATGTGGAAAATTGCCCAGGTTTGTCCTACCCACAAAAACATGACAAATCCAATCTAGCCATTTACACTACACTAGACTATTCTCGATTATCAGTAAACTAATGGAAGGAGTCATCAACAGTACAATGAAGCAGCACTTGCTAAGCAAAATAATCTGCTCACTGATGCTCAGTTTGGGTTCCTACAGGACCTCTCAACCGGTAACTTCTTTAAAGCGTAGCTCAAGTATGTATGAGATAGCTGAATTTTACAGGTAAAGTGAGAGTGACTGCCCTGGACGTCAAATTGGCATATGGCGGCCTGAGTGTGTACTGCAGCCCTTGCAAATGTACAGTCAACAGGAAGCAAGGAAAACTCTCTGATGGCTGGAGTCACAGTTAGCACAAAGAATGACAGCAGTGGTTGTTGGGAGGTCAATCACTTCAGCTCCAAGACATCCCTGCAGGAGGTCCTCAGGGTAGTGTCTAGGTCCAACCATCTTCAGCTGTTGAATCAATGACCATCCCTCCATCATAAGATCAAACATGGCAATGTTTGCTGATCCATACACAATGGTCAGAACCATTCGTGACTCCTCAGATACTGATATAGTCTATGTCCAAATCAGAGAAGAACTGGACAGTATCCAGCCTTGGGATGACAAGTGGAAAGTGGCATTTTTGCCACACAAGTGACAGGCAAGACTGTCTTCAACAAGAAACAATCTAATCATCACTCCTTGACATTCTATGGAATTCCCATTGCTGAATCTCGCAGTATTGACATCCTGAGCAGGGGGTGGTGGGGGGGGAGTTGGGTCACCATTGATCAAAAACTGAACCCGACTAGCATGATAAATACTATGGTTACAAGAACAGCTGGTCAGAGACTAGGAATCCATCACTGAGTAACTCACCTCACGACTCCCTGAAGTTTATCAACTATCTGCAAGGTACAGCCAGGACTGTTTTTGAATGCTCCCCACTTGCCTGGATGTGTGCGATTCTAACAATAATCAAGAAGCTTGATACCATCCACAACATAGCTATGCTGCTCTATACTATTTACTAACTCTCATCTATTTGCAAGATAACACTGAACAAGAAGCTGGAATTTTTGTCCCTTTCATTACTCATGTTTACCCAAAAATGATGCCAGAACCATGCGGTGCTATCATAGAATTCAACGCAACAACAGGATCATAGAACCCATACAGTGCAGAAAGGGGCCATTCTGCCCACTGAGTTTGCACTGACCATCCAAACTGCATCCCATCTAGACCTCTTCCCCATCCCCATAACCCCATATTCACCATGGATAATCCACCTAGCCTGCACACCTTTGGATTGTGGGAGAAAACCGGAGCACTCAGTGGAAACCCACGCAGACATGGGGAGAATGTATAAATTTCATGCAGACAGTTACCTAAGGCTGGAATCAAACCCTGGTGTGAGGCAGCAGTTCTAGCCACTAAGCCATCGTTAAAATTATGTTAATATTT